GCCCTACTCCGAGCTCATAAATGGGCAGAAGCTGTCAAAAAGTTGTCCGACTGATCATTCCAATGGGGAACGACCTGCAACGGTATATATAACCCCCATCGAGTCCAAGCGCCGTCGCTACCACCAAACCTCTTCCTCTCTGTCGAATTCATTCGTGCGCCATTTCCTCTCTTTCCCGTCTCCGATTGCTCCCCAACATCTCCCTCCATCCACTCCATCTTCGACATTTTCCGACTCTCGCCCATCCCTAGGTTGGCTCTGGTGTGTATTTTCTCGTTTCGTCACATCTTCCGACGTTGAACTCATCGATCACCGTTTGCAGACTCCTTCACCGCATTCCCAACTCGGTTGTCAGACGCAACGGTGCGCACCTTCTTCCGAATTCCTCGACCTCCCCTGATCATCCCCCTCCTGATAGTGTTTTTCTCATGGGCAAGCGTAAACCCGCCGCTTTCCGATCACGACCTCAGCCAACGTTCTCGGACTCCGAGACGGAACAACCAGGAGACAAACCCGCAGAGGACCCGCCGGCTCTCCAACCACCGCTCCTCCCGGAAGGCATCGGTTCCACCGAGGACAGTCAGGATGCCGACAACGCAGCCGCCGCCAACAACGGGCCCAAACCCCCAAGAATTATTATGAAGACCCAGTTCGGCCTATTCATCAGCGGGCTTGCAAACATCGACCAAGTTCTCGAGGACGAACAGCAAAAGTCACTTGTCAAAATCGAGACCCTCCACATCACCGTCCTCAAGAACCTGAAGAGGATGCTAGCAAGATGGGAGGATATGTGCAAAAAGCTAGTCATTGACGAAGCGTTGTGGCATCGTCCAGACATCTACTATGAACGTGGAAGACTCTTCCTCCGTCTCCTCGTACGTTTTAACCCCCTTCGCTTCGTTTCCGGATTCTAACGTCACGTTCACCCCGTTCTTCTCTCAGCTTCTGGCAGGCAAAGGAAGAAAGGGAAGAAGCATAATCTGTTACTCAACCTTGACGGGCTGGTGTACGACGTTTATTCGCCAGATCAGCCGTTACTGCGTCGACACGGAAGGGAACTTGAAGGGCTCTTCGCTCCTCCGCCACGGCCTCAAGTCTGGCGATGAAGGATTCTTTAACTTGATCATTATGGAGGCCAAAAAGTGTGAGTGTGTCGGCCAGCTCGTCTCCTTGATGATGTTCCTAAGCGGCATTCTTTTCTTTTTCTTTTCGTCGGGTCATTCAGTGTTCAAGGAGTACAACCTCGATCGAGCGATTCCGGACGGCGTGTTCTGGGGTCGGTTCGAAGTACAGCTCATCATCGAAACCCTGCTTGCGAGCACCTTGTCGATGGAGCTTGCAATGCAATACTGCTTATCGATATCCATGGCGGCCGTCACCGCACTCAGGCCAGGAGCCCTCGGCTGGAGTCATAAAGAATGGAACGGAGGCGAGGGTAATGAGTCGAAGGTACGTCCATTGTTTCACTTGTTTTTCGAATTCCCTTACCAATCCTCGCCGGCGTCGCCGTCGCAGTTCATGCAGAACAAGGACTTGATCATCGAACGCGATCACGAACGGGGCAGAGGCGCGTTTGTCTTGCATCTCAAAGTACGGCATATCAAGGTTCGATTCCTGATTTGTCTCTAAAGGGAAGGCTTGACGTATGTTGACTGGTACTCTAGGCACAAAACGACGACCAGATGGTCAAGCATCCAACCTTTAACTTGCGTTCTCATTCCAAGGCCCAAAACGCGATCTTCGACCCGGTCAACTACATTGTCCCTCTTCTTCACCACCGGGGAGAGCTTATCGACTACGTCGGAAAGGTTGTTCGATTCGACCGCATGTGATCCTTTTGGCATGCAGCTAACTCGAATCCCTCGCCTAGCCGTACTCCGCCGTCTTGGACGGGAAGGAGATACGTTTGGCTATCGGCAATCCTGAACATCCGGTGTATGTCTTTCTCTGTCGGTTCTCCCGAGCTAGACCTAACTGTTTCTTCGATTTAGCTTTCGGGCGTCAAAGCACGGAGGGACCGGCGTTGATGGTACAAGGGCCGCCTCGGCCTCTAGCATCAACCGTCGCATTGTTGAGGCTGCTATCAAAGCTGAACTTCGACCGGCGGGTGGATGTCAAGTCGGCTCGACCACAAGCATTCGGAAGGATCGGGCTTGGGAGGTATACTCGTTTCCGGTTTGGGTTTTCCTTCTTCAAGGGCTGACTTGTGATTCGACGTCTAGTTTGCGGATCTTTACGGCCAGACCGCAGCAAACGAGCTCCTCGGTCACGAGCCCTCTAGGACCGTACAGTCGATTCATTACGACGTTGGGGTGAGTCGGTGGGATCTCACCGGTATTTTCTTGAGGGAGAGGGACGACGGGGACCAAGATCGCCATAGAGTAAGTTGCCACCCCTTTTCAGTCCACTTGAACCTCCTAACCTGCTTACGCGCCATCGGTTTAGACTGCTCTCGCCCTTAACCTGTATCGACAGTCTGCACTTCGAAGCCGAATCGCGCTGCGCATGCGAGATGACTTGACAGCCGAGGCCGACTCCTCCCATCAACCCCAAGACCAATTCGATGACAACGAATCTGCTCAGACAGGATCAAAGCGAAAAGCGTCAACGTCGTCAAAAGTGAAGCAGGACAAAGGGCAACGTCACCGTCCGAACGAGGAGAACGAAGAGGCTAAGATCAAGGATTCCGTTGAAGTGAGAGACTCCATGCTCGCCGGTCTTTAGGACAACTTTACTAAAGCATCACTGTCCTTTTTTCTCTTCATCTTGCTCTTCTCTTGGACAGGCTCTTCCCGAAGTGAAGAACGCTCGAGGACAGGCCGACGAAGCCTGGCGTCGCCTTTACCGCATGACAAACCTCCCTCTGTCCCGTGGCAATAATTGGAGGCACTTGTTGACGGAGCCCGGAGACGAGCCGATTCCCGAGGGTTGGGATGCCAGTTCCATGAAGCGAGGCTGGGGAACGGAGACTGAGAGACAGAAGGTCAGTTTGATCAAGTTCGCCCGTTGTGATCTTTTTTCCGATGACCGTTTTCCATAGCTTGCCCGGCTTTACAGCGCTGCCAACGACATGTATCTTGCTGTGCGAAAGAAGAAGCTCAAGGATGCACGTCGTGAACACCGGGAACAGAAAGACAAGGAGTTGCAGGCCTTGAAGGAGAGGGGTAACCTGGATCACATGCAGGCCGTCCTCGACGAACGGGAGGCGCCCAGCAAACTTCTTCATCATGCCGTCGCCCATCTACCTCGCGAGGCCGACCCCGACGATGAGCCTACCTACGATCCCGACGACCCCTATACCAGTAACGATCAAGATCCCGGCACTGATGAGAATCTCAATGATCGTGAAGCCAGATTCTTCCTGTCGACCAGCACCCCTCCGGAACACTCTCCATTGTACGACATTGTTAACACGCACATTTACGGCGCTCCGTCTGCGCGCCTCGCCGATCCTCAAAGTGAACCGGTCCCTCCCGACTCCTCGACCGGCCTCAGCGCTCCCCCGCTCGTCAAAGACAAGTCAAAGGCCAAGAAACCCACGACATCGAAGAAGAACACGGGCAAAAGCTCCAAGGGCAAGGAGAAGGCCGACCAGTCTTCAATTGCTTCCGGTAACCCGCCTCCGGACAACGACGGCCCAAATGAAGCTGCCACCAATGACCGTTACGACCTCGATTCGCCATGGCAGTCCAAGGAGATTGGGGAGTTTTTTGACGAGAGCCAGCATAGTCTGTTTGATACAAGGCGAGCGAAAGAACTTGAGACACTGCTGGAGAGGCATACGGGCGAGGACTTCCGGGTTGCGTGGCAACTTCACATTGTCGCCCTCTTGGAGACGGACGAGGTATGTGTAAACCTAGTCGTATTGATTAAGCGGCATCTCACTATCTGACCCCAATCCACAATTCTGTCCAGGCTCTCGCAACGAAGCCATGTGCAAAATGTCCAGAGTCGAATATGACCTATTGCCGTGCAAAACTGCTGAGGCACAAGTACGTTTGTTTCGTTTTCAAATCAGGGGTTAGTCTCAACATCTCATCGGGCTTATCTCTTCCCTTTTATTTCCCGGTTTTCTCCGTCAACGATCACCGATCCGTTACCTACCCTATCCCTGGCTTGACCATCTACCCGACAACAGTGAACGTGTGCACCACGTCCTTGACCCCCTATTCAACGGTATCTCTTACGAAGAGTTCGAGCGTCAGACACGAGGAATAGACGACAAGTTCAAGTGCCCTTTGTGTCGCAAATCTAAAGGGTATGCTACATGCCCGAAGTCGCCACCCCACTTTCCACTAACGTTCCCTTTCATTAGATATTCAACGGCTTCGTATCTTCTGCGGCACATAGCACACAACTGCAAAAACGGTCTGTGCGAGAAAGTGGAGCTGAATTCCAAGAGACGGAAGAACAATCTCGGCGAGTCGACTTCAACGCAGGCGACAAGAACCGGTGCCAAGTCGCTGCCCTCTCGGCCTGCCGCTCGTTCTTCTAACGCCACGACGAGCATCGCGGCTACTGAGGCTCACGACCCAACTGCGTTGGCTGGTCCTTCTACTCACAAAGCCAGACGTACCGCGACCAAGAGGAGCGTGCCGATCGAGATCGATGAAGACTCCCAGCCCGGAGGTGCCAAAGACGAGGATTACGTCCATCAAGAGACCACCGATGACGACACGGATGACTGAACGATCTTCCGATTCTCCTTCTCAATTCGTTCCTTGCCCCGCTACTGGTGTTTGATTTTGGCCCACTGCGCGACCCAGTTTCCTTGTTTTTCACTCTCGCGTTTCTTGTGTCTACATCGAGCCCTTCGCGACTTTGCGCCTTTCTTTTTTTTGGACTCTTTACAGTGCTTGTAAAACTGTTTTAAACAACTCGAATCGAATGTGAATGCGACGTTAACATCGAACAGGAGTGCAAGGAGAACTCGAACGCATAAAGCTGCCAACCCTGAGTTTACAAAGCACTTTCGGCATAGCCAAAATATAATAAAAAGATCCCTTCGATCGGGGTCGAACCGATGGCCTTGGGATGACAGTGGTCACGTGACCGGCTACCATTACAGTCCCACGCTCTTCCAGCTGAGCTACAAAGGGTTGTTGGAAGGATTTGGGTTGAAATATTATAGCTTGCTACGGCTTGCCCATCTCACTCTCCATCATGGTAACCTTCTTCCTGGCCTAAGCTCGGGAGGAACAGAGCTTTTACATGCTAGACTTACTTATCGGCCAATCGTA